ATAAAAGAACTCTTCAAAATCCAGCTAGCCATTTAATTTCACAGTCATGCACAACCTCTATTTTTAAATGCTCCATATGAAAAAGATAAAACCAGCATGAGGGTTTGATATTTCACTTACTAACATAATATATATTCCAGACACCAAATTTATCCTCCTACCCTTCCTTTTCTTTTTCTTCCTCCCTGTAGGAGACTATCTCAGCAACAGCTTCTTTTATACTAATTCCTATGCTGTAGTCTTATAAAACCCTCCTAAGCTTTTTTTTGAATGTGACTGCTGCTTGATTATTGGGAGTCAAACAGATGTTCTAAATTTGTGGTGTCAGCACAGAGATTCACTTTATTTCAGCTCAGCACATGTGAATTAATTTTAGTTATACATTTATCTACACATTTAATTATTTATATTTACGTATTTTTACTTTGTAATCTATATTGTTCAGTGCCAAGCACTATCTGGATAATAACAGCAACGGTGCTATAGCATGCTCCAATACTTTTAATAAACAGAGACTAACAGAAGGCTATAGGATTGCTGGTTAATAAGAAATAGCAGAAAGGTTTGTTACAGCAAAGCCTCCCATTAGCTTCTCCTTACTTGCCGCTATTTGCTTGGAATGTTTGCATGTGCTTGACAGTAATTATCTCTCCTCTGAAACCCACAGAGCCAGGCTTACTGTCAAATCCCACACCTTACTGCACATTGGTAACATATTTGTCTTTAAGAACGGTGTGTCAACTACGTGCAAAAAAAAAAAAAAGTACACAAATCTTTGCAAATGGGGATGTCTCTCCTCCTCTAAGAAGGGTGCAGAATTTGTGGACTTCTAAGGCATTTGTTTATAAGGTGGGCTTAGAAAGAAGAGAGGAGTTTCTCACTGCTTCGTCCAATACACAGAATCAGACTGGACTCCTATTTCTGCACAATGTGTGACTCCGATTACATCACTCCGCTCAGTGCGGGAATGGGCTGAGGCGACATATGGAAAGAATCAGGAGTACAGATCCTCTCGGCCAAAAACGCACTTCTGGTGGGGAGTGCTCTAGGGGCCAGTCAGAGATAAAATGCCAGAAAATGGATCTATATCCTCTGTTCTCCGTAAAATAAGATAATACAGCTTAACTACAATGACAAACTTTCCCTAAGATTTTAGACAGCATCTAGATATCAAACCTGGGAAAACCAAGCACATTATTTAACACCAGCTTTTAATTTTCACAGGCAAAACCATTAAAGTTCATCTATTTTTACTGAAATATTAATGCACTACCTTTCCCTTCTCTTGCTAGTCTCCAAAACATTGTCCATTCCCATATTATTTTGGGTGACTGTTATAGTTAGCTGTTAAGCCATTGCCCCTTTGTTTATTTTAAAATGTAAACCTACTCCAGGATGTAGCAATTACGGATGCTCTGTTATGAGCAGCACGCCTATCAACATCGGTTGTTATGACAAATGGCCCAAGTTGTGTTAGCCTACATGAATGGGAACTCAGTTAAGCATGTACTTTATTATGTGATGTAAAATGACTATTGAAGTAGATGAGAAAAGACAACAGCACTTAATTACATGCCCCTTCCATGCATGTGTCAATTGCAAGCAGACTTTCTCATAATTGTATCCTGAGGTATTTAACCATATGTGGACTATTGAGGATTGTCGCTAATGTAAAGAGGAAATTTAAAATGTCAGTCTCCTCAATCTCCTGGCATTCTGGGACAAATAATCAGTGATATTTTAAACTATATTTATTTTATCCAGCTACTGCACACACTACCAAAATACACTTTTGTCTTCTAGTAAGGCTTAAATTTTATTTAATATCGCAAAAAAAATTACGGGAAACTCATCCAACTGATTTTTTTTTAAAAAAAATTCTAGAGCTATTTTTTTATCATTTGTAATATATCACCCAGAATGATATTTATATTTTCCCCAAAATAGACAGGACAACCTTTTTTTTTTTTTAAATTCCATTACTGTGACATTACCAGAACAGTTCACGTACAGTCTTATGCAGCGCTTTAGATGCCACAACATCTAAATGCCTGCTAGTAGCACTCAGACCACAACTCTCACATTTGCTGTGTTTGTTCTCCTAGTCTTATCCCAAGTGGACAAGTGTGTGCAGTAACATGTTTTCTGGTACTTTTTAGTTGAGTTTCTTAGGAAAGACAGATTTACATAACCTGCCTGTCTGCTCCTTCAGCTTCTGAACCTGCTGACCTATTTGAGTAAAGCCAGACAGAGTAGTACATGCCTCAGAGATGTTACATTCCTATAGTTTCCTGAAAACCGCTGTTGGACAAGGGAGTAGGATCTATGTTACTGCCATCACTGATGGAGCTATAGGGTGAACTCCACGTTGACAGTATTCAGTCATAAGTTCTCTGGGGAAAAACAAAAATGGAAACCAGATACATGTTTCTGTGACAGCATTTGTAAAGTTGGCCAGTTGGAGGTTATACAAAGGGCAGCTTACCCCAGTCCTATCGCCTATGTTTCTGATTTCCTCCTTCTGTACTTCCCCTATTAAGAGCATTGCACCCACCTCTTTTGCAAAGTGGAGAACCTTGACTAAACCTTGATTGTCTGCTGAATGACACACCTACATCAGAAGGGAAAGATGGGAAAAGCACGGCTTCTCTTTCACTGAGATAATGCAAGATACTTGCTCGAGAAAAACAGTAGTTTGGCAGAGGTAAATATCATCAAAGCCAAGTGGAAATAAGATATCTGCTCTTCTGATTGGTATCTGGTCAGCTGGGACAAAGGAGATCATTATGGCAATGGACAGAGAACCCACAATTAATCCAGGGCAGGAATCACAGAAGATACAGAAATGAGGTTATTGAGACAGTGAGTGAGATGTAGGAAACTCAGCCAGACACAAATAAGTTCCACTACTCAAAATATTACTCAGTCCTCTCTCTTATTCCATTAAAACAGATGGCCACGTAACTATGTGTTTACACTACCCAAAGCAAGTTAAAAAAAAAGTGCAAACAATGAAACTAGGGAGGAAGGTGTTGACTTTGGAGCAGTCTGTAGGTCCTGTTGGAGATGGTTACACGTCCTTGGATTCACCTCTGTATAGCTCTGTCCCTCTGCCAGTGTGCCAGGAGAAACACAGACTGCCTCTGGAGTTTTGTATTGATATGCTTCAGTGGAAGATTTTGGAAATTACTACCACTCTGTTGTGCCAATACTTTTCTTCCCAACTCCCATATGTCCTCTCTTCTGTGATACGCCAGCAACTTAAGCCCAGTGTGTCCCTTCTCTCTCCCACCACTTCTTTTGTTCTAGTTTCTGTATTTCTGTGGCATTCACCACTTTTATACTTGGTATAGGGGAACGCCAACACTGTAATGCCTTCTAAATCACACCCATCAGGAGGATATGGATCCCAAGTTACGCTAGCTCAAATCCAGCATAATTCCAATGACAGTCCATGGATGGATGCCATTTATAGGACACTACTAGTTGGTCTTAACCCAAGGAAGGTAAGTAATAGTAGTTTGAGCAATGAATACTGCTCATGCTTCTTCCTGTGCTGAGTTGAAACCTGACACAGACTTAGCTTGGAGAAGAGGAGACTGAGGGGTGACCTCATCAATGTTTATAAATACGCAAAGGGCAAGTGTCAGGAGGATGGAGCCGGGCTCTTCTCGGTGATGGCCAATGACAGCACAAGGGGCAATGGGTGCGAACCGAAGCATAGGAGGTCCAACATTAACATAAGGAAAAACTTTTTCACTGTGAGGGTGACAGAGCACTGGAACAGGCTGCCCAGAGAGGCTGTGGAATCTCCTTCTCTGGAGACATTCAAAACCCACCTGGAAGCGTTCCTGTGTGATCTGCTCTAGGTGGTCCTGCTCTGGCAAGGGGGTTGGACTAGATGATCTTTCAAGGTCCCTTCCAACCCCTAACATTCTGTGATTCTCCTGAGCTGCTGCCACCACAGAGCTATAGGACAGCAGTTGCAACAGAGGGGAGCAGTGCCCCATCGCAGCTCCAGCTCACTGCACTGGGCAGAAGTCACCATCCTGGCAAAGTCCACATTTCCACCCTCTGACCTCCTCACAGTGGCAGCAACGCTGGGCCACAGTCTGCAAGGTGTACCAAGTGGCAACTACTGCAGCGAGTAGGGCAAATGTGCTTGACTGAGGGGAAAAAAGGAAGATAAATTGCTGGAGGGCATGAAAAAGGAAGCTGAGGAGGAAAGAGACCTTGGGGTCCCAATTGCTAGACCACACAATGAGAACACTAACTTCTGTCCCCATAGAAAGAGCGTGGCACAGGGAGGACAGAGTAACTTGTGGATGACAACTCACATCCAGGTGAAGTTAATCCAGGAAGTGGTCATCAAAATGCCAGCAACTCAGGCAGTTCCAGTAACCAGATGGACAACTATATCTATCATGTCATAGTATGTCTTAAGGAGAGGCCCAAGAATCATACAGCCAAGCAGAGCTGCAAGTCTGAACTGAAGCTCAGACAAATGTTAGAGCACACTGCAGAGCCTGACTGACACTTTTACATACACTGAATTATACCTTTTTTCATAGGTCCCCCTTTCCTGAATTCTTCCTAAGCAAGAATTACCCAAAAGATATGTACAAGTCTGGAAAAAAAAAAGAGATTAAACAATAACACTTTTAGCACTTCTCACCACAGATCAGATGTAAACCCCTGGCTTCTGATTGGGAGTGGGCTTGGATTTTTTTTTTTTTACTTTACAGCAATTAGGTTGGTACACGAAGGGTCATGCTCCTTCTTTCAGCATGAATTTGCAACAGGGTAAATCCAGTGAAGGTGAAAATCTGCGTGTCACTGCTGGTCCAGTGAGGGTAAATGCATTCATCAAGTTAGTCACTGTTAAAGTGAATATTAGGAGCAACCAAATTATTTTAAGTAATTAACTCATCCACTCACTCCTCCAACTCCAAGCAGCTTATACATTAAGAACAACTTAAAAAAAAAAGACAAAAATCTACCAACTAGGCTGAGCTGCCATCCTCTCCATGTAATCCTTGGCCATGCTGATGGCCTCGATGTTTTCAGGGTAGAGCACACAGAACATCGCCAGGGCCCCAAGGTTGTTGCCATAGATTTCATTCCACCGAGCGCTGAACTCCTTCGGGTCCCAGGGAGGAAGGTACTCCAGGGGATTCGACAGCATCGTTTGCACTGCCTCGATCAGACGAGCTGCAATGTGCTGGTGCGTGGTGGCAGCCTGGAGACGCAGAGCCTCCACGTCCCCTTTGGAGAAGTAGAGCATGGGGTAGCTGTCATAGTTGGCATTGACAAAAGGAACCATCACGTCCGGGTCCTCCCTGGCGCTGTGGGCAAAGGCAAAGCAAACGACGTGTATGAAAAACACACTTGGGGCTCCCCGTGTGTGAGTCCTCATTGTGGCATCAGATCTCCAAGTCTCAATGGCAGCCAAATCATCTTTGAAATATCCTACGGCAGATGGATGTGAAAGAGAGAGTTAGAAAACGTATCCATGAGACACTGTAATTCAGGATGCTCTCTAGGAAATACGACTCCATCTAGACTTAAAGAAACCCATGTATTGTCCAGGTGGCTTTCAAATAATTTCTATATGAGTACTTCAGACAAAATATCTACCGAGCAATTAATCCTAAAGAAAAACCTGTACACTTCGAAGAAAGCCCCTCCCTCCCACATCTTTCCCTCTAGTAGCTGATATGAGGCAAAGAAACACAATGACAGCTCTAGTACTCGAGATTCCAAATAACTGCAACGGTGCCTAATATGAAGCAGTGCTGACTGTACTGGCAAGTGGAGAAGGGCGGGAGGGGAGGAGGAAGGGGAAGAGCGAGGGAGCCTTCAGCCAAGCCTGCGTGCTGCCTTGGCTGATGTTAGCAGCTGGAGAGGGAAGGATGTGGAATGCTGGAGGTTTGCGCCGGGGTCATTTTATACTGCGCTTGAGGCCTCCGGTTCTGACACGTCCTCGTTTTCAAAAAAAACCCAAAACAAAACAGAAAAAAACAAACCAAGCCAGAAAGAAAAAAAAAAAGAGAAAGAGAAAATGGCAGAGCCTCAGAAAAACAGCTGAAATACCTTGCCTTCAGGGCGTTTAGGGTTTTTGCATAATTATTATTATTTTCTTTTTCTAAAGGGCTCTCCATTTTGCATGTGTAGATTTGCTGCCAGTTACTAAGAAGGCTGAACATTGAATTAAAATGCATATTTTCCTACGTACATGACTTCTCAAAATGTGCTCAAATGGCAAATCTATGCAGAGGTTAAATGGAAGTATTTAAACATAGTAAGTTACTTTGTAAAAATTACCAACTATCTAGCCTGAAGTCTCAGATAAAACATGGCCAGGATCCCCCTGAGGAAAGCCAGCAAATTCCTAGAATTCTTCCGAGGGGAAAGGTTACAGAAAGCAGACCCAAGAGAGACAGTTTTATGTAAATAATGAACAGTAGTTTTCAATTATTAAAAGGAGAAATAGACAGAAGGAAAGAAAACCTAAAAACAAATATGAAATGTTTTTTCCATGGAAAACCCGTTTCATAGGATTCAGTCATAAAACTCCTAAGAAGCTGAAGTACAAAGCAACCTTTTATTTCTCCCCAAAGCTCCCCACCTATAGATGCCAAAATTTTCTAACAGAAACTTACGCTGCAAAAGGCTTACTTCAAAACTCACATCACGATTCAACAATGTCATTAATATGTGCATAGACAATGAGACAACCTTCATAGACTAGGTCCCTCCATAACTACCGGTACACAGACCCTCTAGGTGCTTGTGTTCAGCTCCTAAAGTTAATTTGGGAGCAGGCATCTTT